GCCCACCTTTGTCCCTGAGGGCATGAGAATCCCGAAGGGCAGTCTGATGTCACCGTGCAGGCCTGGACAGGCCTTGTTTATTAGAGCAATTCTTTTTAGTGGAAGGGGTTTCGGGTGCCTGGAGAGCTGTATGTGAGAGGCCTGGGTCCTCTGGGAATTGACCATCCAAGGAGGATCACCGAGACCCGACTGCAGGCAGAATGGCAATTTGGAGAAGAAATGGCTTTTAGGCAATGGTCATTTGTATTAAAGCCCCTGACGGCCATCTCACCCAATTTCCTGCTAAATTCCTTCCTAGGTGGCCAGATAGGAAGACATATAGAACTCTCAAAGTTTGCAGACAGATCCGAGCCTATGCTGGGATTTATGCCGGAATCTCTTATGCACAGGGTTGCTGGGACAACATGGAGGCTAGTATCAGATGTCCCAAGCTGAGTCTCTTGGCTGGCCCATATTAGCTGTGTGGCCACAATCTAGTTACTTTTAACCCCTTCCTGCCTATGTTTTCTCACAGGTAAAGTGTGGAAGAGGAGAATCTGTTCATAGTGCTGGGGTAGAATCAGACAAGATGATAAATGCAAAGCCCTGAGCTCAGAGTCTGGTATACAGCGCGTGTTAAATATAATCCCTCTGATTACTTATTATGACTCTTTTTAATGATTAAGAAAGACCTCTAATGGTTGACCTGAGACCCAACAGCTAGACCAGAGGGAGCAATTTAGATTTCACTTTGCCACTATATCCCAGGCAGCCGTAGCACTCCAGGCCAGGCAATGCTGGGGTCAGGGGAAAGAGCGTTCCAGACAGAGTCTAGCTATGACCCTGTTTCGCCAGAGAAGGCCCGGGTGTCTGCCCACAGTTTGTCCAAGTGCACACACAGCAATCCACTCCCAGGGTGGAATCCCAGCTCCGCTCCCTGTGTGAGTTTCTGCAAGCTACAGAACCTCTCTGTGCCTCAGTTTCCCCATCTGTAAAATGGGCTGCTGGAAGGCTTCAGTGAACTAGTGTATGGATGTTTCTGTAAGCAATGCACTCCACATTGTGAGTGTTCAGAGGTAGATATTTTGATCATCATCAGACTTTTCAGACCTTGCTTCTGCCTGGGCATGGTTTTCATATAAGGGACTTAATGAAAAACCTCCCTCTGAGATTCTATTTGTCTCATTTCTCCTGGGATGGATGGAGTGAGGGGGTGGGGACTTGGGGGCCACATTTCTGGGAGCAGCATAGATAGCCTATGGGGTGTTCCCAGTTCTGTTTTTCTGTCAGATGAGGATCTCCTGAAGAGATCTGTTTTCTAGTCTAAATCTGAATAGAACCTTTTACTACTGGTTGGACGGAGATCGAGCTATGAATTAGGATGAGTCTTCATTTACAGGAGGCCTGCAGAAAATGTTCTACGTACACACATATATTCAGGAGCCAAAGCTGAGAAAATCCCAAGAGAGGTGTGGGGGCCCCACCTGGACTATTTCTACAACTGTGGGCCTGCAGGAATCTATGTCCTTCTGCTCCATAACAGTAAAAAAAAAAAAAAAAAAGTCAGGGGGATCATATTTGATCACAAAAAATCTGAGGTTCCAGGTGTCCTCTGTGAAATAGTAAGAAGCGAATTCTCGCACGAACTGGACCTCTCCTCCAAGTCTATGCCGAGACACCTGTACCCTTGCACTGACTGCAGTTGGCACTGCCCAATAGGGCCCTGAGCGCCTCCTCCCCAGAACTTTCTTTCTGGCCAAGGATTTGAGTAGCAAATGGGCTGTTCCCCTCATGGGGGCCATCATTTCTGCTTGTCATCTTTGGGTTTGGTGTTCTCAGCCAAGGGCACCATCTGTGAACACTCCCTGATGACTTTGACAGAAGCTCAGTTTGGACCCTTGAAATACATCAGTTCTACACCACTTCGCTCCCAGCTCCCTGGGGCGGGGGGGTGGTTTCAGAGAGGTGGGTGGTCTCTTTCCTCCTACCTGGAAGGTAGACTCTTCAGACAGCCCTGTTCTCCTGGCTCTGAGAATCAGGGGTTCTGCTACATCCTATGGACCACCCCCTCTTAGACTCCCAAGTGAGAGAAAGCAGTACTCACTACACTGTGGCCAGGAGCTTGAGTGACCCAGCTTGGTGGATAGATTTTAGTTAAGGTCTCATTAGGGCTTCATAGAAAGTGATCCATGCCCTTGAGCTTCCTAGCCTTTGTGAACTGTTAGATGTTGCCATGGGTGACAGACATTTGGGATGATGCCCACTGCTTAGAGAACAACATTCCAGAGGGAGGGCTGGAGAAGGGGATCCATGGTACTTAGGGCATCTTCTTGTCCACTGTTTCTGGACCTCCCTCCTCCCCCTCTTCCTCTTCCTCTTCCTCCTCCAACTCCAACTCCAACTCCTTCTCCTTCTTTTTCAGAGCCACCCCACCACCAGGAGCTTTTTAAGACATTGGGTTTCCCTAGTCGCCTTACCCTATGAAATTTTAATAGCACAGATATACTGTACATCTGTTTATGTTCTGTGGCCCGAGGAGAGCCACAAACGATTGTAATATCTAAGATTGTTTGTCTCCCAGGAATCCATTTTCACCTCATTGAGGGTGTTACTGTTTCTATAGAGAATGCATATTCTAGTCTGAGATGTTTTGGCCATCTAGCACCAGATGAGCGGGGGTGATTTGGGGTGAGCCGAGGGTCAGTGCAGGTGTTTAACAAGCGTGCATCCGTAGGCGACTAGGAGCCACAGGAAACTAGCCAGGAAGACTGGGCCTTTCTCCTTTTCCTACAGCTTCCAATTTCCCACTTTCACAAATACTGGATGACTATTTTGGGGCAAATGTATTAGTCCGCATTTAAGATAGTTTCCTTGCCTTGTATTTTTCTTAAAAAAGTGAAGTTATTAGGGCAAAAGGGATCAGCACTTAGAGCATCTTAAATAGTATCAGCCCAGTATCTGGGATGAGTGTACCAGGGAGGCGTAAGAGAGCCTATCCCTTCTCTGTATCTCTACCAACATTGAGCAGTATTCTTTCTAGAAGTATTTGCTAATTTGAGAGGCAAGATGATACCTCACTGTTGCTTGATTAACCTTCTCATGATGACCAGTGAGGATGGAATTTAATTAATTAATTAATATTCTGAAGGTAGAATTTAATTAATTAATTTATTTATTTTGAGGGTGAAATTTTAGATCCTCTATCCTGTTGAATGGTAAGGGGTAAACCAGTGATCTCCAGTAGCCCAGTGATTGCCCCACCCGTTTGGTGCTAAATCTTTCCTTTCTCACTGACTTGTCACTCCTCCCTCCCCCCTTGGGTTTTTTTTTTTAAATCTACACTGCCGTGTGTTTCTGGACTTCTTTTTCTGAATTATTGGCATCTTGATGATGACATCTGCTCAGCTTTTTGAAATAGGTTTTGAACGAGGGCTCTTTGAAGGCAGTTGCACCCTGGGAGTGGATTGATGTGTGTGACTTTGGCAACCTTGTGTGCAGACACCTGGGCTGTCTGCACCAGCTGGGCTAACATGTGGTGAGCTCCTGGTGGAGACGCCCTCTTGAGCAGTTCTAAGGGTGCAGAATGCCACGCTGATGAGTCACTGAGGCTTGGACAGTACCTGGAAGGTCTGTTTTTATCTGAGTTGGCTCAAGTTCACCTTTTGGTGAGGGTCAGATCTGGCATGAAAGATGTGGAGTTGAGCAAAGGAAGAACAAGCAAGAGATATCATTCATTCATTCTGTAAGTACGTACTGAGTGCCTGCCATTGTGTAGAATATACAAAGAAGTTTCAGACTGGGTCCCTGACCTTGCAGAGCTCACAAAGCAGGCGGGAAATAGGCATGCAGATCAGTGACTGAGATACAGGCTGATAAGTTCTATGACAGATGCACATGAAGGTAGATGGGGAAACAGTTCTGTCTAGTGAGATGAGGGTCAGAAAGAAAAACAAAAAGAGAACATGATAGTTAAGTTCCATCAGAGAACAAGATGATGTTCGTCAGGCAGACAAGTCAGGGAAGGCATCCTGGATGGAGGGAACAGCATGTACAGAGGCATGAAGCTCAGAAAAAACATGGCATTTTGTGCAGAGGTGGGGAGCAAAAGACAGCGAAAGGGATAGTGGGACTTGAATGCCATCCTGGAGTGGTTTCCTTATTTTTGGTCAAAGATGCCACTTACGTTTATAAAGCATCATCAGTTATGCTTTGGGGGGGGGTGAACTACTGTATGGGAGACAGTATGGAGGTGAGAGTGTGAGAGCAGAGAGCTACTCCGCTAGTAATGTTGTAATTATAACTAGGTACATCAATTCTTGCAAACATTTTCCCACCACAGTCTTCGGGAAGGGACTAGTGATTGAATTGACAAGGAAGATAGAGCAGCACAGGCATGGAAGGAGTAAAAGACTTGATGTCTCAATTTATGTGTGGGTGACAGGATGAAGGACGAGATGGGGATGAAGCTGCAATTTCCATCATGTGTACAGCTAGGCAATTTGAGGTCCAGAAGGTACAGCAGGTGTGAGGGTGGCCATTTAAGTGAGGGGTGCTGGTTGGGCATTTAGATATGGAAATACTGGCAAACAATTAGGAATATATGGTATTGGATGGATTAATATTGCCAGTTTCTTGTGTTTCCCTTGATATTTTAAGAATGTTGGACAGTTTTCAGTGATGCTACCAGCTCTTCATTGATTGAGGTCATGGCAAGAAGAAAAGCGTGGTGATGTTTATTTCATTGGGTGCAGTAGGTCAATTTCAACAACACTTTTTTTTAAGATTTTATTTATTTATTTGACAGAGAGAGACCCAGCGAGAGAGGGAACACAAGCAAGGGGAGTGGGGGAGGGAGAAGCAGGCTTCCCGCAGAGCAGGGAGCCCGATGCGGGGCTCGATCCCAGGACCCTGGGATCATGACCTGAGCCAAAGGCAGACACTTAACCGACTGAGCCACCCAGGCGGCACCCCCTTTTTTTATCAACAACATTTCAACTCACATTTATATTTTCTCCTTCCAGGGGACGGCCAGGTGGACTTTGATGAATTCATGACAATTCTTGGCCCCAAACTGGTGTCTTCAGAAGGTCGCGATGGTTTTCTTGGAAACACAATAGATAGCATATTCTGGCAGGTGAGTACAATTTTTTTAAAAGATTAATTTGACAGTAGATGTGTGCCTGGGACTAACTTTTGACTCTGAATTCTTGAGCTTCTGTGCAGCATGTGAAGATCTCTTCTGGGCTAGAGTGACATACGTTCCTTGAACTGGATGTCTAAGTAGAGGTCCATACTAGATCCTCTGAACGAAGTATCAAAACTATACCATTTGAGGTTTGGATGAGCGAACTATCTCCCTATTTTTTCCTTGTACCAGAAACAGTTTTACATTTGGGAGAAATGATATTCCTCCACTTCTGATTCACAAAAGTTTCTTTCTTGGGAACAATTAGAAAGTACACCATTGGTATTGCCTGAGCCCTGTTCTGTCCCTGGTTCCAAGACATTCCTTTGCTGAGAGGATGGCCAGGTTGCCTCATGTGTTTAGATCCTATCGATATCCTTGTCCTTAATAGGACAGAATGGTTTTATCTAAGAATTTGTGTTCAGTGCTTCTCAATTTGCTCCTATTTCTGTCTCGTAAAATCTCTTAGGACATTTCAAGTATCTATGTTCAAATTATTAAGGTGCTATGAATCATTTTTATATTAGTTCTTTAGTCTTAATATGTGCCTATCAGTTCATGATTATGGAATTTGGGAAATGGGTTATCAACCACTATTTTTAAAATCTGAATGAAATCATTTGCCAAGTTAAATTGAATTGTTGGTTATACATGTAAAACATCACTCCGATACAGTGAGGTTTCTTTAATTTCTTGATGTGTTTTTTTTTTTTTTTTCTTAACCAAAGATAATTCTCCAATCTAGGTAAACATTGCAGTTGACATGTATCTCTAGTCTTATTCTGCTACCCATCTTGCATATAACCAACAAGCAGTCGGTAAGAACACATTACATGCCCTATAGTCTGTCACTGTGGGTTTCACAAAAGACATTGAAGACATAGTCCTGGCTATTTAAGAAATTGGTTGGAGAAACACTCTTAAGAGAGAAAAAACACAGAAGGGATTCTTGGTGTGATGGTTCCTAGACTAATCATTTGTTAGCGTCCTCAGCACCTCACACGTTGTACACAGTAGATCCTTAATAACTATTTTTTGAATAGAATGAATAGCAGTTCCAGAAAGGAGACAAATGTGATCTTGAGGGGTCAGGTAAGGCTTGGGGAAATGGGGTACTTGCTTCAAACTTTGAAATATGGCAGGAAGTGACAAAGGAATAAAAAGGGTGTTCCAGGTTTGTCATGATGGGTTTGAGTAGGGTGGAAGCAGTGAGCACAGGGTAGTCATTGACCATGATGAAGGTATAGTTTGAAGGGAAAGACCTCAAGCCTTGCTGGCAGAATGGTTTTAGGACCTGAGCAAAGAGAAGACCGAGATGATCCCAAGGTCCCTGAATGACAGGGATAAGGTCATGGAGAAAAAGAAGTCTTTGTGTGGAGTTGAATTCTAAGTTGGGCACGTTGACTGTAAGGTGAAGGTCAGACAACTAAGAGAGGGAGGCAAGTCCTTGCCCAGCTGCATGCAGGAGCAGATCAGGGATGAGAGGCCAGGGCTGGAAATCCAGATTTATTATCCATCAGAGCTGGTGGGTAAAATCATAGGTGAGGATAAGCTCATCAAGAGAAGTTGCATAAATGAAGATGAGCAGAGAAGCAGGACCTGGTTCTGGAGGGCATCCAGGGGCAGGTGAGAGTGAAACACAGGAATGTGTCCCCAAACTGCCTCCCCAAACTGTGGTTATGATCAGCCCTGACTCTCCCCAGAGAAGGACCTCCGTGGTTCTACTTGTCATGAGACAAGAATATTTCACTGCTTACGTAACCCTTCAGGTGTGACTCAACACTTGGAAGGACAGACAGGTAGAGGCCCTTGGCAGAAATAAAAAACATGAACACATAGTTAAGTTGGGGAGACACTGTTTCTCACCAGGTCATGTTTCAGCCCATACAGATCCACTCTGGATGAACATTCCAGAATTCCTTCCCTGCCTGATTTCTTTCTTCTCTGCTGTGTTTTATTCCCCACTCTGAGGGCTCTCTCTGCCCTTTGCCTCTGCCTTCATGGCCCTCTGTAGCCTGGAAGAATGCTACAGGCCTTCTAGGCTCAGAGCATTCTTCCTGACCCCCACCCTGGAGGGCAAGGAGCTTCAGGTATTTAACCCACACCTGATATCTTCCACATTCTTCAGAGTTGAACACCTACACAAGGAAATATTTCTCTCTCTGTCTTGACTGCCTCTAGCATAATTTAGACATGCTATTATGCTCACAAATTCTCTCTTTTTGCTTTATTAAAGACCCTCTTCCTCACCCTGGTAGACAAACAGGAGGGGGAAAAGTGAATAAAGGGGGAAAATTCCATTCTGAAATATTTAAATGAATGCAGGAATGCTTGGACGCTGTGGCAGTGGCTTTCTTCTCCTGCTGGTCCTCACACAGCTCAGAATTTTATGACTAGCAAAGGAGAACAGAGACATCTATCAATTCTCAGTAGTCAGCTGTACCCTCCCACACTGCCCCCCTCCATCTGTCTATTCAGAGACAACGTGCATAAATGGTACTTAAAACATCCAGAGCATCCGGTCCTTCCTGGAAAAAAAAAGTGCATCTTCCCAGTGCTTGAGTGATCTTTCAGGTTTAAGAGAAAGCTCTGTGTGTGTGTGTGAATGTTTGTATATGCATGTGTACATGTGTGTGTTTACTTTGCTACAGTGCTTGAAGATGATATAGAAGAAGAGTAGCAGAATGGTGGCTTTCTGCCTCTGAATATCCAGGCAGGGGATATGGATATCAAGAGGTACAGATACTGTAGCAAAGAGAAGATTGTTTACTTAGGGCACTCTGGCAAGGCTTCCCACTAGGGATAAAGTCACTTTCTTGTAGAGACAGATAGGATGGTATACTTGGCAGGGCGCATGAGTGATCTATTTGCTGCAAAATATATTACACCATAGGTTGTGATATAAAACAATAAATATGTACAATATCATGGTTTCTCTGGGTCAGGAATCTGAAAGCAGCTAGCCAAGTGGTTCTGGCTCAGGGTCATGAGGTGCCAGTCAAGATGCTGGCTGGGGCTGTAATCATTTGAAGGCTCGACTGGGGCTGGAGGAAGTGCTTCAAGGTGGCTCCCCCATGTGGCTGGCAAAGTGACATGGGCCACACGGACCCCTCCCTAGTGCTGCCTGAGTATCTTCATGATATGGCAGCTGGCTTCCCTCAAAACAAATGATGCAAGAGAGCACAAGGCAGAAGCTGTGGTGTTGTTTATGGCCTCCTCTTGGAAGTCACACTCCGTCATTTCTGGAATATCCTCTTGGGTACACAGCCCATACCTTTTCAGTGAGGGAGAGGAACACCTCCTGGAGAATACCCGGAGGCAGCGGTCATCAGGGGCCATCTTGGAGACTGGCCACCGCAAAGGGTAAAGACTCTATAATTGGCTTCAGCTTCTGGTCTGACATTGCCACCACAGACTTTGGTTTTCCCCAGCCTTTGGTTTCTTCCTACCTCAGAGAAAAACTGTGACCACGGCTGTTCTCTGTGTTCTGAGAAGTGATCCTAGCAGGCACTAGGCTCATCTTGCTAATTAAGTCCATTTTCTCGTGCTCCCTCCTCACTGGCGTTCTGGCCCACAGTGCCAAGAGGAAAATAAAATCAACTGGGATTCTGCAACAACAGCTTCTTCTTCTTTTTTTTTTTTTTTTAAGATTTTATTTATTTATTTGACAGAGAGAGACACAGTGAGAGAGGGAACACAAGCAGGGGGGGCGGGAGAGGGAGAAGCAGGCTTCCCGCAGAGCAGGGAGCCCGACGTGGGGCTCGATCCCAGGACCCTGGGATCACGACCTGAGCCGAAGGCAGACGCTTAACGACTGAGCCACCCAGGCGCCCCTGCAACAACAGCTTCTTATCAGTTGGTACTCATCCCCGTGTGATAGTGAAGGATAGCCTTCACTATCAGTTTTTTATGTATCACAACCAAACCTGATGCATCAAGACTTCACTAGTTTAGACTTTCTGTCTTGAGAAGTAAAACACATAAATATTTAAGCAAAGGGATCTGTTCACTGGATGCCGCTGGGTGTATGGGAACGCATCCAGGGCTGGAGGTCAAGAAACGGGAAACTCATAGGGGCTCCCTGGGTTCTGAGCAGGCTCCAGAGTATTGCCTGAATGTCCTGAGCCTCGCTTGCCTGTGCATATGCCATATGCCATTGTCATAGCTCGCTTATCTCGCAGCTGTGTGCAATGTCCAGGACACTGTAAGTTATCCTCACGTAAACGTGCGTGGGACACCCATCCCCAGATGTGGTCCAGATGAAGGGCTGCCACACTGACTTCTCCAACCCCAGGCCTGCTCGGCTTCCCTTCCAGCTGTGCACTCCTCCCCATCTGGTGGGAGAATACACAGCAGATGTAGTAAAGTACCTGCAGCTGTTCCCCAGGAATCTCTCCAGGCTTGGCCTCTGTCCCTCCATCCCAGATCCTTGCTCTGGTCTCATGCCTTCCCTGGCTTTCCATTTCTGTTATGGTCCCAGACTCCTGATCGCTGACCTGTGCTTTGATCCAAAGACTAGTCCTTCCCAGCCCAGGTCCCAGGCTTTTGCTTGGGACATTTACGTGCTGGCCCCAGGGCCATGGCTGAGACGAGCAGGGAGCTGTGCTTAAAATTCTTGACTCATGGGCAATTGAGAGCCCTTGATGTTCCATACTCACGACATATGAGGAGAGCACTACGCAAAGCTACATTATGATCCAGATCTGTTATGCATAAAAGTAGGGGAAAGAAATGTAGCAAAACATTAACAGTGATATGTTATATGTGGTAGGGTGATAAGTGATCCCATCTTTCTGTATTTTCTGAAATCTCAACAGTGGGCATGCATTAATTCTATCATCAGAAAAAGAAAATTAAAGGAAAGGAAATGCAGCTCCTAGCTAGTCAAGAATCTATTAAATATCTACAAGTTTTTCATCTGTAAAACTGAAGATTACCTGGCCCATGAG